AGTAACGTGGTTACAGTAATGACTAACAAGGTTCTTCTTAAACTGTTATATAATACCACTGATTATATGCTATTATTATTTAGATTAAATTATATTAGATAATTGAAGCTGAAGAAGTAGATTGTTATTACATTTATTTTTGTACGTAATTTAATTTATTTTCATTATTATCTCGTTCATACATTGACCATATAAATAATAATAGAAAATAGTATTATTCTATTGGAAAAATATCTCTATGACATATATTTATTCAATTAAATAATGTAATAACTAATACCAAATAAACGTTATATAAAAAATATATCAACACCAAAATCGCTCTTTGCAATAATGATCAAGAATTATTCCGAAACTTTTTCAAAATTACAAAATGTTCACTACATCAAAGTTTGATAATTTTATATTAAAGGTTATTTATAAATTACAGTTCCACCCATTCGTTTTTTTTTTTTTTTTATTACCTACCTGTTTTTATTATTAGCATTGTTTTATACATAACCGCGAGTGCAGGTCAGAAACTGTATTTCATTCTTACAAATATCGTATACGCGATTGGACAATTGATTATATATAATAGATACTTATAAGTTATAACATTGTATCAGGCCCTGATTTACGCATGTGCAGGCGGTGCACTAGCACAGGGCCCCCAAATTTGAAGGGCCCCTTCGGCCTTCCTATTCTATACTTTGCTACCATAAATAAAAGATATTTTTAATAAGATTTAGTAAGTAGTAACTATAACCTATTTAAGGAGGCCGCAGCATGCGTAGTATTCATACGGTTTACACTAATCACTAATAAGTAATAAGCCGTCGATAGTTATATCAGTCGATGAGTTATCGGTCAGTGATAATACTAATAATACTCAATGATATTATCAATGGTAATAATGTCTATAAACAATAAAAACCACTTACCAAAAACTAGTAAACATTTGTAACATTTTGCAGCTGCAGCTGCCGCCTGCTTGTATAGAAATATTGTGTTATCACTTATCAGTTATCATTCCAAATATTTCATTTGTGTAATGTGAATATGATTACCTATTTACAAGTATAAAGTAACTTTATTGTCTTTATTTTAATTTTTTTAAGTCTGTGATTTATTGTAGTAATTTATTATTTATAATGTCATCCAAAAGAAAATATGCTTCTGGATATGAGAAAAGAAAGTTGAAAAACAAACGTGAAGAAGAAAACAAAAAGTTAAGCGGTTCACTATCAAAATTTGTTATCTGCTCTTCCTCTGAAACTGTGGTGCCCAAAAAATAAAACAGAAGGACCAGAAGGTAATCATAATGATATTTCATGATTCATAAACAAACTGTTTATGTATACAGATAAACAAAAAATAATAATTTATGCAGATCTTGATTTATCGATCAGTATCGATGATCCTGAAGCTGAAGCACTAACAGATGATGCAAATGACAATAAAAATACCTGTGAGTGTACTACTTTATATGTCTATTATATTTAATATGTTAACTACCTATTACATGTTAGTAAATGTATTTAATTTTGGGTATAGGTATCATAGATGTCAATGTTGAAAATATTAGTGAACCTGATGAGACTGTCGAGACTGGAGATGGCATTGTTAATAATTCAAATAATGGAAATAAAAATAAATTAGCAAGTTGTAAGTTAACTAAAACTCATACATACTATACTTGTCATAACCAATTACCATTAAATTACCTAATAAATGTATGTTCCTTGTCATATCTTATTAAATACATGTATTGTGATTAATTATTTTTACTTTAATTGTCTTAATGGTTTTTATTTTATTTGTTATTGTATCTTATGAATGATAAAAATGTGTTTTAACAATTTATAATTTATCTAACACAATTATTCTAATATAATATTTGGTTAAATGTATGTTATTGTGTAATGTTTGTCACGTTATTTGTTTATTTGAAGTTGTATTATTATTGTTGTGTACTAAATACTAATAGATTTCTTTTTGTGTATATAATTTATTGACATATAGAATATGTTTATTGAAAAATACAAATGCAATATAAATTATTATACGTTATGAGAATAGAACAGCCTCAATTAAATGTAAGTTCACTTTAATTTGCATTATAATAATTGTTATTGAATTGTGCATGTATGGTTTGTATTATTATTATTGAATAGGTAGTGCATGTATGGATTATTGTTTTGCTATTAGTGTTTTAAACGTACATTTTTATGTTCTTTTTTTAAATGTTTTTTATTTTATAAATAAAATTTGTTATTATTTTACTTATCATTTATTTTATATTTTAATAGTTGATGAAGTTGATAGTGTTAATGTAGAATATGAAGACTATAGCTTATATTCGACTAATATTAGTCTCTGGCCGAACATTTTAAAAGACAGTTTTAGAGAATACTTTATTTTAAATCCTCCAAAGCAAAATATGGATAGAATTGAGAATTCAAAAAAGTTTTTATATGGAAATTGGCGATCACTTAATGCTTCTCACTTTTATTATACTACTAAAAACCAACAAAAAATTAATAGACAATGGCTAGTATATTCAGAAGAGTGTGCAAAATTGTTTTGTTATGTTTGTAAACTTTTTAATTCTAATGATAAAAAACAGCTCTGCCAATCTGGTTTAGATGATTGGGTGCATATTTCAAAACGTCTTGCTGAACATGAAAACTCTATGGAACATAGAAATGCTGTATGTACTTTATCAATTCGTGCATCCGCCTTGAAACGAATTGATCAGGAAATAGTATTACAACACAATAAAGAAGTCGAATATTGGAGAAATGTTTTAAAAAGAGTTATTGAAGCTATCAAATTTATTTCAATTCGAGGATTGCCATTTTTCGGTGTTGATGAGAAACTGAATTCTGATCATAATGGCAATTTTCTTGGTATTTTAGAACTGATAAGTAAATTTGATCCTTTCCTTGAAAATCATCTTTCTCAGTTTGGAAATAAAGGCTCAGGAAATGTAAATTACATATCTTCATTTACTGTACGACAAATAGTTGATCAAATGGCATCTAAAGTTTTAAACCATATTGTGACAGAAATTAAAAAAGTAAAATATTTTGGCCTTATAGTTGACTCTACGCCTGATATAGCTCATGTTGACCAACTGTCATATATCTTAAGATATGTTAATGAAGAAGGTGAAGTATTAGAACGATTTATTAAATTTCAAAATATATATAGCCATACTTCAGAATCGTTAACAGCCCATATAGTTTCTCTTTTAAAAGAACTGAATATTAGCATCAACAATTGTATTGGGCAATCATATGACAATGCGTCAAACATGTCGGGAAAATATTCAGGGCTGCAAGCACGAATTAAACAACTCTCTCCTAAAGCAGAATATGTTCCCTGTGCTGCTCATTCCCTAAACTTGGTTGGTATTTCAGCAGTTGAGTCTTGTTTAGAAGCTGTAAATTATTTTGGAGTGGTACAATCGCTTTATGTTTTTTTTTCTTCATCTCCTCGCAGATGGGATTTATTAAATGATCAGTTAAAATGTAATAAAACTCCATTAACATTGAAATCAACATCCAACACTCGTTGGTCAGCTGACGCTAATGCAGTTAAAGCTCTACGGTTGGGATATAACGAAATATTGACTGCACTATCAAACATTTATAGTGATGATAATCAAAATTTAACAACGCAATATGAAGCCAAAACACTTTACGCAAAGCTTAAACAAAAGGAAACTGGTATCATGACCATTATCTGGCATGAAATTCTTCAAAGAATTAACAAAGTTAGCATGGATATTCAAGTATCCACTACAAATTTATCTTCTATTGTTCCATTGTATACTTCATTAATTGCATTTATTAATGACGTAAGAAATAATTTTCAAAACTATAAAAAGGAATCAATTAATTTAAATCTATTGCCTGATTATACATCAAAAAGAAAAAAACAACATACTAGAAGTAAGTGTTTAGATGATCCAAATAATCCAGCTATAAATTTATCTGCCGAAGAAAATTTCATTTACAACACTCATTATGTAATATGTGACAAATTAATTACTGAATTGAGAAAAAGAAACAATGCTTATGAAGAATTAGAAAAAAAATTTGGTTTTCTCTTTAAAGATATGGACAGATCAGAAATACAAAAATGTTCTAAAAATATATTGGATACATATTCAGATGATTTAGATTCTGATAATTTTGAATGTGAACTGATTCAGTTTCAAGAGTTGAAAAAGTCATTTCTCGGTAATAATTTTTTTCAAGATCCCCATTATTGTTTGAAATATATTCGAAGAATGAATATTCGCCATACTTTTCCCAACTTGGACATTATATTACAAATATATTTATCAATGCCGTGCACGAATTGTAGTAGTGAACGTTCATTCTCTGTACTCAAACGTATAAAAAATCGAATGCGCTCTACTTTAACACAAGAAAAACTGGACTCTTTATCATTACTGGCAATCAACCATGATGTTACTAAACAGTTAACATTTGATGACATAATTGCTGAATTTGCAAAAAAAACAAGAAAAAAATGTCTATTATAATTAAATAAATTAATTGAACTTTTTATTGTTAAATATGTACCTATTATTATTTTTTACATTTTTTGTTAAAAGAGGCCCCCAAAGTTTATAGTGCACAGGGCCCCTATTTCACTAAATCAGGCCCTGCATTGTATTATTAATTTGAAGACTGAAGAGTAACACATTTTTTACCACCCTAACTTTGATTGACTAAAAATATTTTATTTTGTCAACATTGTTTAATATTCGTTGAAAAACACACATACACACATGGCAAGAATCATGCGTTTGTCATAATATAAAATAAAACAACAGTTTCATTATTGTTTTAAACAAAATTGCACGTCTATTAAAAATTTAAAAATATAATTAATTAAATGAAATAATATTATAATTTATGTTTCTAATTGATCGCAATATTAAATTATATCATAATAAAAATGTTTTTTTTTGGGTATTTACTAAAAATTTATCATATTTTTAGATTCCAGGCCCAGGATCATGAGTAACAAAATCGAGCACGTCAAGACCATACTAAAGGAGTTGGTCGGTCGCACCAAAGATTTTCAAAACTTAAATGCATTCCGTCTGTTCGTATTGCAACACAACACGTACGACGTGGACAAAGCGACCATGTTAATTAAACAAGGTAAGTGGCCGTTCAGTAAAGGGGAGGAGTAAAGGGTAGTATGTGATCGGCGAGGAGAAAGGAAGGGGTAAATGTTGAGTGGAAAAAGTTGTATTATTTTTATTAGGTACATATGAAATCAAAAATTAAACAAAAAAAAACACGGTCGGTCGGTCGACAGGCCGGTCGTACATACCCATACCGTGTGCGCACACCCATTTCTTCAGTACACCCGTGGTGGTTATATATATATTTATGGGATGGAATAGGCGTGACCTGAAATGAGCTGTGTACAGTAATGACACCAGGTGGGGGAGGCGAAATCAACTCCAACACATTAATACTCGTAAAATATCCGACCACCATTGTTTAGACGCACCGAACATGCTCAATAACACAAAAGAACATACTATAGCGACGTAGTATTATAAATTTATAAACCTACGTACGTACAACAGGTACATACATAACGTATGCGCGAATATTAGGTATATAATACAATACCTATGTATAAATAAGGGAGTAGACATATTTGTCTGCCTAACCAACTACATAAATACAAATATAACAAAGTAAACACGGTCGTATAATATATTACGCGTGCGCGCGATTACCACAGTGTGCAGATCACGCATTCTAATAATAACAATAATAATAGTAATAATAATACATATTATTATTAATATTATGTCACGTCGAGTAACACTGTGTTATCCGTGTATACGCGACGACGAGATAATAATATTATAATTGTACCTATAATAATATTGATGTAGCAACTAGCAATGTATTATAATACCTGCGCATATACATCGCATTATACATGAATATAGGCGTGTGCGACATGCTGTATAGGCTGTTATAATATAATATAATATTCCTATCTACCTATAGCAACAGGTTTACGTTATCGTCATGACGGTACCGGGACTGGCTACGATGTATCTCCTTTTTTTTCCAAAAAATTCACCTCAAGTCACAACATAACTTAATAAGTACTCATATTAGCAGCTCTCCCGACAGTCTACAACATAATTTATCAAAAATTCCTTATCAGATGTACATGTTCTGTTTGCCTAAATTAAATACTTAAAAACAAAAATTCATAGTTAATAGGTTTAAGTTATTTATTTCATTTTGTGATTCAGCGTTATAAATTCGATATTATGACCCAGAAAAGAAAATATTATTCCGTCACCCTTTTTCAACTTTGCAGAATACATCAATCACGAAAATCTGTCCATGGGTATGCGCCAGTGCCTAGTGATAACTGTTGGTTGGTCGCATACTAGATGAATAATGAACATGAGTAAGTACAAACTATAATAGGAAACAATACCTAACAGGAATGAGCTTGTATAGAATCATGGCTCACGGGTATAAATAACCTTCACCCTTCCGCCTTCAGATAGTATTGAATTGGGCCTGGAAAAGTTTAAGATTTTATACAGTCAATAAAATTGGAAGAATTTAAAATCGCCCATTCGGTAAACGAACCTAGGCTATCGCAAGAGTTCAAAATCCAACCTCAACAGTTGGCCAATATTAGTTTGACTAGGCTATAACTCACACACTAAGAGTTGTGATTTGTCTATCAAATTGTGTTAGATTAAAAGAGAAGGCAAGAATATTTTAATTACATTTTTGAAATTTTAGTTAATTAAGACTTAAGTATAGAAAAAAAATAGTGATTGTCCTTTACTGCCAAAAACATAACTCTCCTACCAAGCGAAATATAACTCGATCGATTTTGCTTAAATTCGGTTTTCAGCAAAACCGAAACAAAATCAATTTTTCTACCAATATACTTATGTGTATATAATAGATTATGTTGATAAGGTTAGAATGAGTGTAGTGAATTTCAAATTATTGGATATGATTAGATGAGAAATTTGATAAAAACTAAAATAATTTAATAATGTGGCTAGTTTTTGGTAGGTGTGTATAATATAATATGTATATCTGTTTATGGTCAGTCATGACGCGTAACAATATAATATAAAATAAATCTATAATAAATAACATACAATATAAATACCACATTGCTTTAATGAATGCAATCAACGCAATTGGAATTATTTTCAAAATATATATATATACACCGCCGTATGCGTATAATAATAATTGTGATGTATATGTAGTTTGTATATTCTCGTGATACAAAATCGTTGTACATTGTGGTTCCATCAGACGTGTCTACGATTTATATAAACATTATATACCGTTTAGTGACCACAGGTATTTACCACAAGGATGTTCGGTGCGCGTTGGGTAAATAGATTTATGCACGCACTCATATGCATGTAGTGTATAATGTGTATAATATAAACAATATACATTATATATATTTACTTTTAGGTGAGTATATGGTTGATACCTATCACGCCACGGGTGTACGTAAAAATGTATTGGTAGGTCAGGTTACTGTACCCTACACCGACTTCAAATTATTAATACCTATTGTAATAGCCCGACAATATTTTTTCGCCGCCATCAGTTTTTACGTTTCAACTACATATCTGGGAAATATATTTTAAACGCGCCTATGTTTATCAATATAATATCTTGCTGGATCGATTATTAATCATCGCATCGGCCAGATATGTATTGATTTGTCAAATTTATCTGATACGGCTATAAACAATGACATTATTATACGAACTAGTCAAAAAAATGTTCCGGTAATTTCCATTTTTAAAACCACACACTTGGAGTGCATGTAATTTTTCTATGACAATAATAATAATAATAATAATAATAATAATATACAGATCAAATGAGATAAAAAAAGAACTATGTTTTTGATACTTTTGAGTTTCCATAAAATCACATAGAAACTGGTTATATGTAATCAAACGAGTGCTTTTAAACGAGTAAAAAGAAAAAAAAAACATGATAAAATAAACCACTTGATGTGACTAAACCGATTAATCATTTCATTAATTTTAAGCGTAGGACAATAAATTATAATTGTATTTGAAGTTTTTCGATTTGTAAATAAATCCCGTAGTCGGTCTGTCTACCTATCTGTTACAATGTAGGCAACCTATACTCGTATATCGTATAAACGCATTTCATCTTGTTCAATGTAGTATTGAAGCGCACGTGAATTATGTTACAATGTAATTGATTGATTTATTTTTTCTAGGTGTACGTAGTAAGCTATTGAATCAAATTAAATTTGTAAACAGAAATACTCATTTTGAGCGCGACTTGCTCTTTTAAAGATACAATAATTATTTACAACAATATTTCAACGATAAATTACTTTTGAGTCGCGCCGATATAAAAAATTAATATTAAAATATTTTATTAATTATTATTTTTTTTTTTTTATTTTTTTTTAAGCAAGACGGCCGTGTATGACACGGAATTTTAAGAGTAACTTCGATGACGATGACGCGCCTTAACAAGTATCTTTATTATTTAACGTTTAACTTAAATTCCGGGCCTCCATAGGGCCCAAGTAAAAATTCACTAATTAAATTAACGTGTGTTACGACCGAATCGGTCCGCGCCGGTCGCGGATTCGATTCTTGTACCAAACGTATTTCATTTATGTACCTCTATTTTATGTATCTTACGGCATTGTACAATCGTATTTTTTTTTTTTTTTTGATTCAATGGAAGATTATTAGAAAAGGATCGGTGTGTTGTGAAAGGTTTGGGTGTTAATTGCAGAACTTGACAGTGTGTTTCCTTGGACTTGACCCGTGGTAAACACACCGGACAATGACGCAAACGGGATGGTTTTATAAATGTATCATCATTATTATATTATTACTATTACTTGCTATTACTCGCCTTTTTTTGTCGTTGTCATTGACGCATAAAGAGTGTGTACACCGGTCAACCCAACAGATATCCAGCCAGAGGCTGTGCAGAAAGTCCGATTGTCAAATACACGCTCGACACAAATGTACACCGTGTGCCAGCTGCGCTGCAAAAGTGCGCTCGCTGCGTGTGGCAGTAATTGTGTACGTGTACGAGAGAGTGTGTGTATGCGTTTGTGTGTAAATAAAATAATAAAATATATGCGCGTTCCGATTAAGTATATGCCACTAGCAGCCAGCCCATATCAAGCTAAGACATATTACTGTTATATTCTATAGATGATGATATTTAATTTTCTCAGTCCCTTTTAATAATAATATATTAAACAATAGGTACTTAATAATATATTATTTTCATTCAAATGTTTTGATCATTTATTTTATTTTATTTTATTTTATTTATTTTTTTTAACTTAAAATGTTTTCTATAGGACTTTATTTTTAAATAATTATACAATACATCTTACACACAAACACCTATATAGTATTATATATTATATATTATTATATCTTATAACATATTTTACAAATATTGTCATGGTTAAATTAATTTTAAAAATATCACACCAATACAAAAATTACAAAATATACATCCTTCAATAATAAAATTTTGCAAATATATACATAATTCATTCACGACATTTTTTATTTATTTTAAACTAAAGTATTTGTACTTTAATCGTTTTTAATCATCCGACATCAACCTATTCAGACCAAAAGAAAGTGCTCAGATAAGGTAAGTGCTTGGTTTATTATTTTATATACATTTTTATAGTATACGTTATAAATACATTACCTACTATATAAGTATATTTTATGACTTAAGAATTATATAAAATTTTAATTAAATAATTAGCATGTTACCATGTAGGGTATTACTATATATTTACATAGAAAAATCCAATAATTAAAACTGTAATATAATTATATAATAGAACGGTTTGATTATTGGTACCTTTATAATTTATACGATAAAATATATCATAAATTTATTTAATATAGATAATTCACATAATAATATAAGACTATAGATTAAGTAACACAAAATCAAACATAAATAAACACAATTGTTGTGCATTCAAAAACGCTATTTGTTAAACAGTAGATCAATTATAAAATACCTGATCTTTTGGTTGTATGAAATTGCTTCAATTTTTATTTCAAGAATATCATAACTTTTAAATTTTCCATATGCAACTTTGAATAAAAATATACATAACTAGATTACTTGATACAACTTAATAAGAATTTTAACTTTATTTTTACTCTCGGCAGATAGATTAATTGTTCTTGTGAATGAAACTATAATAATGAAAAAGAGCAGGCTACTTAGGCGAATATGTATTATTATTTTAAACTTCAAAGTATATCATTCCACATAGCCTACAAATGATGTATTACGGAATTGTTTATAATTTTATAAAGTTATTACAAGTTTGCGATTCAATTTATTTTAAATTATAATGTTTTAAGAACAAATATTCAATTAAGTCATTTTAAGTTTTAAATTTTTTTTACATTTGTATATGATGGTTGTAATCACTAATAATGACTTATTTATATTTTAAAACGCATTATATAATTTTTTAAACTAATTAAAAATGCATTTCTATGATGTTTATACTAATGTAATTAAAATTTTAGTATTTCACATAAAATTCAATCATTTAATCTAATATTTTTACACAAAAATATAGAAATTAGAAAAAATTCAAAAAAATACGTATCACTTAGCTTATTTTGTTCAAAATCTTTTAAAACGTTTTAAACTCTTGTCTAAGTTGATAATTTGAATTCTATAAAAAAATAAATATTTTGATACATATTATATACTTGAACAGTATAATTATTATTGGCATTAAATTTTCAATAAAGAACACACAATAACGTATGCATTGAAAATATTTTTAAAGAATAAAATAAAAAAAAAAAACTCTTTACGAATCGAAAGATTTCTATCTCCCGCATCCAAAATCGAAGAGTTAAAAATCATATTTAAGGCAACTCATAAAATTTTCCTCTTATTCTATTTTACCACAAGTATAAAAACAATTTATAAACAATGTTTATTTGAACATTTGATGTATTTATCTCTAATAAGCGACTTTGTGAGTGACAGCGCGTATGAAAATTGTTGACATTTAGCCACTGCATCTAACGCGTAGATCAAAACTACGCAAAACTGTATGTTTGTAATATAGAGACCACAACAGTAGTTTTACTAATAATAAAAAAGTACGTACGTCAGCACAACGTGGGTTAAGACCATTATTATTTATTAACATTTTCGTTCAAGTGATGTCGCATCATTATTATATCATTCTATTACACTGTAGTCATATATTTTGTAGCTCTTTTCACTATGAAGTATTGATAGCGTTCTATTGTCACATTTTTCTATCAGCTAAAACGACTCTTAGATGATTTTAGATACATTTTTAAATCTGTTAATATAACTCTGCGGCAATTCATCGCTGTTATAATATTCCCATTCGTTATTTTATTGTAACACAATATTTTATTAGCATTTCATTTTAAATATCTTTAAACATTTATTTTTTTTTTTTTTAAACACTAATATTATCAATGATTTACTTTTAAATACTCTCTTCTGAGTTTATATTATTAGCGGTACGCTGTTCAGACAAATATAATAAAATATGAATACTTAGCTGTATATTCGTACAATAAATACTGTAAGCATTTTGTTCAAATTGTTCACTATCAATCATATGTTAATTTACGCACAGTTATTTTAATTTTATGCAAAAAATAATTTTGATATTTCTCAATATTTATGTATTATATTACATCACTAATAATATTCGAATACAAGTAGGCAGGTTAATAAAACCATGTACAAAAGACCTCAAATATCTTATAAATACATAACAGTTAAAAATTTTGATTAACAAAAATTAACAATACCTCAATGATGTAGAGATTTACTTTTTATAAATATTTAATTTATTAATTATAAACTAATGATGTAGGTATGCCTATTCTTATTTATATATCGTTTTACGTTTGCGTACTTGAATGTGACGTTGTTTCGGTACAAAGCGTCAAGGCTACTCATTTCGTATATTTTATTATATGATAAGGTATTCAATAAAATATGTCAAACATCATCTTCACTCATAAATTATTTTTACGAGCACTTAAAAACTTGAAAACTTCCCCACGAACACAAAAGTGAACCGAACACCGCTCATAATCATTTTGCGATGTGTAGTATTATCATTTATTTCAAACGTAACTCACTGTTTGTATAATATTGTATATTTATATACCTATGCTATGTTTTATTTCTATACTATAATATAATAATAATAACAACAACAACATGCACCGTCGCGATCGTTTGTGCCACAGTTAGCGACTTGAGATGATATAATAATAATAATATTAGGTACTTAAATGCCTTATGCTTTTTAGTTTTTATTTTCACGAGAACGTTGATGTAAAAACATTATAAACGAGTACACATGAATTACTTGGATAATTTTGAACAAATAAAAAAATTATAGAAAAAAATTCTTTCTAAATATATTTAACAAACGATTTGAATTAACAAAAATGTTAATTACATACAATCAATTCAGCTAGTGTCTCATACATAAAGATTTGATAGACGTATTCCCTATTTGTATAACACAATAGGTTGCACATAATACTAAGACAATAATATTACCATTTGTCTACATAACTTATATTTATATATTTATAATAACAGTTTACACATTTATTTCAATTGAAATATTTATTACATGTTCAATAAGCAATAATTAATACTATATCGAGTATTAACATCTTTATTTCTAAGATAGGTACATCCTTATCGAGTCTTTTAAGCACAGTTAAAATTATCAAAAGTTAGGAAATTGAAGGTATTTATCTAGTATGATATTATATAATTTATGAATGGTTGTGCTTACTGATTTTCATTCATACAAATATTATTTGAACCAATTGATGTGCCTATTTTCAAGTTAGCTATAGTACATCACCAATCATCATTTATATATATATAACAGTAATAATCTTCTACAGCTCTACCAATTTTATCTAAACTTTACAGCCGATTCAACTTCTTTTATAATTAATAGATATAAGTAATTTTACTTTTAAAATATTTACATTAATTTATTATCTTGAGTTTTAAATAATAATAATATAACAAACAATCATTTATTTTTATTTCGAGTAAACGAAGTTACTATGGCTATTAGGTATAAAAAAGTAAGACCAACAAAATGAAACATGATACACAAACGATATATTATGTATTCCTGTGTACAATTTGTTTGATGTAAAGTATTTTTTATCAATAGATATTATATAGAATATATCTACCTACTTAGCATTTCCATAATATTATATGTATGTAATATTTATATCAATGGTACATTATTTTAGACATGTTTCATAGGGTGTGGAAATTTTCTTGTAAAATAAATACAGTTTTTCTTTATTATTAATTTTTTTTTTTAAAGGTACTTTTCACTTTCAACTACCTAGACATATATTTTTGGACTAGAATCATATTTATTTTCCCTCAAACATTAAAATCATAAATTATTAATTATTTAATTATTAAAACTATTCGTTTAATTAATATAATGGAAGAAAATGATAATACAATTATTTGATTTGTATTATATATATAAGTATTACTCTTCTCTATTATTCAAAATATATAAAATATTTAAGAACTTAACGATAGTTTGTTTGTATATTGTGTATATTGCACTTATAAGTTATTATGGTTATAAATTATTATAAAAATTAATATTTTATTATCTTTTAGAATATTATTAATTAATAGAAAGTAACGGTTTCTTATTTCGATAATGACAGATAATGTATGGTGGAGGAAAATTGGAAAGGAGGCAAATTTCAGGGGGGAATAAAAGTGGATTAATACGAACTATACCACGATTTCTCATTTTTTAATGAAAATGGTTATTCCCGTTTTAAAATAAAGTGTATTATGATGCAGATAAGTGCTACGAATCGTTATAATATATTGACAAATTTAGAAATTCATTACAACATAATAGTATATAGATAAATAATATCAATCATTTATACCACTGTTACACGTCTTATAGGCATATTTGTAAAAAATTATGAACAGTCATCACTGTAAAATATATAATATTAAGTACTTACCCATTTAAAGATTCCTGTTATCCTCGTCACGTTTAGGTGGAAGTGATGGACTTTTATAATTCAGCGTTGCATCTACCTAAATCACAATATTACATTATTTACCTATTTACTCGCATTTTAGGTATTCGCGTAAAACACGATATTATTGAATAGGACTCGGGCCAAAAAAAAAAAAAAAAACGAGGTATTACAAAGAAAAATTTGTAATTATTTTCATAAAAGTAAAAAAAAAAATGTATTTTTTTTCCTGGTTTTATTATTGAATGCAAAAAATAAATAATATACTATTAAGCGTGTCCCGAGGTAGAAATCTCGTGTTTTTAAACTAATTTCCTTGGTGGTGTCATTCATATACTCACATATAATATTATTTAATCTTGAAATCATACGCTGACATCGTACTATTTGACCTTTGTAACATCAATCGTGTCAGGAAACCGTCTATGAGGAAAATGTACAAATGCACATTGTAAACCGACCTTCTTAAATCTGCGTATTGAATAGAGCCGTATTCTTTATTTCGTACAGTCGGTGCATGGAAAATGTCTTAGAATTTGAGTCTCAAAGTCTACGTCGTAAGAAATAAAATAGACAGGTCCATGATTATTAAATGCGCCAAAAATAATTCCACTCGCTATTGTTTTATTCGTTTTACGGTGCTGCCAACACTACATAAAACTTTTTCGTTTTCGTTCATTACCGCGACTATATGATATGCATACCTATTAAGTAAATAGATATCCGTGCAATACGTATTATACATAATTTGTAAAATGTACATTTTGTACAACGAAAGCTGTCGATATTCTTTTTTTTTTTTTTGGCCGAGGTGAGTTGTGTATTCATTCATTTACCCGTTTTTTGTCGTTACACTATGTGCATCATAAAATACATAGGTATTTACATTTTTTAACGATATGTCCAGCCAACGTACGATATTTAAACTCCCTGAGCTAGTGGGTTATGCACACTCGTAAATGCACTTATACAGGTATACGGTATGTGTATGTATAGTCGCTTCTAGATCTTTTACCATGGTACCTTAATGTGTGTTTCTTTTGTGTGCGCGTAAGTCGATTTACAAAGAAAACATAATTACGCGCTATTTTATATTTGGCCAACGCTGAAACGAGTAACTGCGGGAATGTGCGCGTTGCGATCGAATATTTTTTAGTTCAATGTGAAAAGTTATTAATCAATTTTGCCGGAAAACTAACTTTAATAGTAAATTGTTTGTGTATCTATACCTTCAGCGCGGTGACGAACAGCTACAAACTACATATTTTGATAGGTAAAAATGTTGTAATATTATTACATACTGCATTATGTTTTGAGTGAAGTATAAAATATTATCTTATTAAAAAACGGCTTTAAACGTTAAATTTATCAGTTACTATACTATAATACTGTCCGTACTGGGTTTGTGTAGGACGTTTTTAAAATATATTAAGTTGCTCACAAAAAATAATAATTGAGTGAAGATTGGTATAGAATAATATACTATATTATAGTATATAATAAGAGATTTGACAAGTATTACTTATTACTATAGGGCTCGGAATTATATGTATTTGCATGTTTTTTCTGGATAGTCCAAAAAATAGCTAGGCAAGCTACAGGTTTGATTTGTAGTCAATAGATCCTAAATTTAAAATTCTATTTTGTATATTTTTGCATATTTTGTCATTTTTTGACATGTATACTGTATATTTCTGTATTTTACGATTTTTTCATTGCATATATACGCTTTTTAAATGCAAATATGTAATATTTTGATTATTTTAATTAAAATAACGTATTTATAGTTTTATATTTATAGTCCATGTAATTTGAAAAAATCATTTTCTTATCTTATTTGATACCTATTGGAACAAGTAGTAATCTGTTATTGAGTAGATTTTAGTGAATCATACATTCATTAGGTTAGATTAGGTTAGGTTTGTCGTGATCCATGTGTGCATAACTTTTATTCGATTTTATTTATTTATACCTACTTAATGAAAATAAAAGATATTTTTATAGGTAATCGATTTTTTTGCTTATTTTTGTATATTTTTGCATATTTAAAGTGCATATTTGAATGATAATCAGTACATAAATGCATGTTTATTTAATACATTTTTAGTGCATACAATTCCGGGCCTTACTTATTAAGTAATACTAATAGATAAATTTATACTTAAATATTAGGTATTTATGGGCATCAAAATTATTCAAATCTAAAACACCACATTCTTCTTGTATATAAGTATAACTGTGGTCTGGTGTGGAACGGTGGTTGGCCTCAGTCACTAATGTGTTCTGAGATCAAGCATCGGCCGGCGTCGCTACCTCTCAGATGGGTGACCACCCGAGTTATTAGTGACGAATCCATGGCCCACACACACACGTGTTTCAACCGTACTAACCAAACTTTACAAACAAACTTTACACAAAAAAAAACCTAATGTTCCTATCGACAGCTAATGGCCTTAGTTGCCGGACTTAAATAAGATCAATAAAAAATAAATAAATTAAGTATAGCTATACATAAAATGAAGGTAGAAAAGTGGATACTGCTCTGTTGTATATTAGGTGTAGAGCCCATTACTATAATGGGTGTGCTAAATTTAAATTCAATTGTGTATCATTGTACAGGGAAGACGATTCTGAGTAGAAACAGTCTGATAGCCTATAGTGTCATATTATAAAATTCTAACTACAAAATAGTTTGTAATTTTTTTTTCGATTTTAATGGTTTTGATCAAAGTTTAAAATTCAAATGCATATGAAAAAAAAATGGGTTTTTATATTTCAATATATATATTCAGATATAAGATTAATTTATACGAAATAATATAATATATAGAAAATAATAGTAAAAATAGTTAGCGAAAATTTCAAGTTTCTGTAGTTATTTGTTTTCGAATTATAATAAAATAAAAAATAAAATAAATAAATTTAGTACAAATTTTATTTAACGTAAAAAATTTCCATTTTATTTAAATTTTTTTTCCCCAATCATAAAAAAATACAACTAATTTTTTATTTTATTTAGTACAAACTTACAAACTAAATCTAATTTTCTATCCAGAACAACCCTCGAAGTTTAAAATCAAAGCATTTTATTGACAACTTATCGTGGTGCAATACTCATACACAAAAATACAAATATCATTATAAAATCAATACATTCATTGCTTTGCACAAAATCTAAAAAATAACACTAGGAATTTATAGAAGTATATAAATTTACCGTAATAATATAAACTTAAAATTTAAAACTATTTTAAAAATAACTAAACTATCGAATATTGAAACTATTAAATAATTGTTTATTTTGTTATTTGATTTATTATAAGTAGACGCAAAAATAAATTATCTATTACATATTTTACAATAAAAAATTAAAATCAAATTATTTATTTTATAATATTTTTTAGAAATAGTTAATTTTATAATTTAAATTTTAAATGTTTGTACAAAAATATTGAATAAACTCTAAAATGATTTTATATAGAAAAATTTCTGGTTTTTTTTTTTTTTTTTTGTTATTTATACTTATAAAGAAACTACTTAAAATGGTTTATTATTTATTACTATGTAGGTTCTTATTTAAATTATTTATGTACATATTATAGACTAAAAAATAGATATTTCCATTAATTTAAATATAAATTTTATGATAGGATATAAAATTGATTAAATTTCAATTCGCAAACAAAATGCATAACAATTAGCTTAAAACTCATAGTAAAATAATATATTGTATTTTTATCCTAAAAAAAAGTATAAAATATCATAACATCCCATAACGTTATTTTCGAATTAAATATCGCACAGACTTTCCAATTTTGAAACATGCCTATAATAAAATTTCCATGTGGTAAAAAATAAATAAAAAATATTTATAAAGTAGTAAAAAACAAGATATAATAAAAACATGAGTTTATTGAGTCTTTTGTACGTGACATAAAATAGGATTGTGAAATAGTGTAAAGATAAAATCATTAGATAAAAAAAATTGAAATACTTAAAATAACTATAAATGGTAATAGGTAGGTACTGTGTACTTAATGAGATTTAAAAAAATTCAATAAATGAAGATAGCTTTTATTAATCTCAGCATATAAATTTTAAATTTTGATAAATATACATAATATTTTAAGTATAAATAAAGTATATAATGCATAATATAACTGATAGGTATACCCAAATAAAACATACATATATTTACTATTAGATTGATTTTAATTTACTAAAATTACATGAATATTACTAAATATAACAAAATAATATTAAAATAGTTTAAACAATTTAATAATAGGTACTTAATATTCAATAAGTTTTAATTATTATTAATAAAATATTCTGAAATATGATTACGTATAATAAATAATTACTTTGAGTATTAATGAATATAAGTTGTACCTATATATTTAAATAAAATCAGCTGATTTTGAATTCAGTAACTTAGTTTTATTATTTAGCACTGATTTCAAAGTAAGAAATGAAGTATAATTTTAAAATAAAATATCTACAAATATATCCTATAAGATAAATGATTTTAGTTAATAAAAAAATTTTTATTACAACAATTTCAAAGTAAATATTATTTTTAATACTTATTTTACTTATTACTATTTGTATACTAGCTAGAAATTTTTCCACAACAAATGATTTTAAATTAAACGTTAAGGATTATATTCTATTAGGTATTCATTAGTCAAGGTATATCTTTAACAATTCAAAACATTTTCGAAAGAATAGTTAAATATTTATATTTATTTTTAAAATTAAGTAAATTATATTTAAATTATAAACACTCATTAGCCAAAACATTTGGTATAGTTAATGACTTCGGGCTGATATAATAATACATTTACTAGATTTTTTTTTATTTCAATATAAATAATAAAATATTAGCATAATATTTTAATATTTATCAAATTAATAGTGGTCTTTGAAAAGCTTTAGTTATAGAAATAAATTTTTTGATTAAGTATTTTAGTCATTTAATCAAGAAAGATGGACGTAATAATGTTATGGAAAATGTAATTTATAGATCAATATTGAATAATAACCTACATCAAATTGTATGCAGTGAAGAGTGAAACGGATTCTTCTAACACTACTATACTTTCAAGTCTTTCAACTGTTTTAAGTATCTTCAAATATGTAAGTATTGATAACACTAAATTTACTTTTAATATTATGTTTGAGAACAAAATATTTTTATAATACATTTTATGTGTGTTGGTATTTTTAAGAATTGAATTTTGAACCAATATGCAATTTTGTATTATATAATTTTTTATAATATCTAATTTATGATTTTAATATCTAGAGAAATATATTTGAAAAAAAGTTATGAATTGAATATAGATTATTGTTAAACTATTTTCTTACTCTATTTAAAATCAATAATAAAGCAGTATGCATAAAAACCAATACTTATCTTAGTGATTATTTAAAGATTACTAACTCATCATTTACGTCGCGTTCAGCGAATTTGTCTTAAGTAAGCAAATGACAAGAGTATTGAAGTACAAACTGAACAATTTGGTTATTATAATTTAACTATAAAATATATTATTAAAACTATTGGTACCTAACACAATTAAAATATATAGAGTAGAGATTTCTACTTTGTAATTCAAAACTCAACTTATGACTATAAAAATAATATATATTATGCTCGTTCTGAATGCTCCTGTGTTTTGTTTATCTATAAGAAGCTTCCCCAAGCATGACGTTAACCACGAGTCGGTTAGGTCTATAAATTTTTGTATTGAAATTGTTTTTTGTTAAATAAAATAGAAATAATTTATGACGAATAAATTAATATTTTATTTAGTTTTGTCAATTATTGTTTGAAATTTCCAACATAACGAATTGCTAATGAACATTATATGAAAATGGTTTAAAATATATGTTTTTACTTTTTTACACATATACCTATAATAATAACTTCATCAGTTTTATGCAAATAATATTATACAACTAAAATCATGTGTGATGCATTTGAAAATTATAATTATGTATGTATATTCATTTATTTATTAGTAAATCAATGGATTTGAGTGGTCTTTCGTGGATCAATCGCTCTTTTAAATAATGTATAGGTAAAATGGTGTGAGTGAGTCAATAGTAGCCCATATAATTAAGTTATATTATTAGTAAAACAATCAAGGTATTAAAAAAACAAAGTTAAATTTTGCAAAACCTTTATTAAATAATTAATTACAAAAATTATTTTTTTTTATAATTGGGTATATTTTTGTATTTTAGTAGGTGTTACTTTTATAGCGACTCATTATTAATAAAAATAAAACATATAAGTTAAGAAACAAATTATACTACTTTAACGTTTAAACATAAATTAAGGCAATTGAGTATTGGCACTACATAATAATAATTAGTAACTATCCAAATCATAAAGACAAAAACGTAATAACTTGACGAGCACAAATATTTTTACAGTACGATGACAGAGGAGGGATGGCAATAAGGCCAATCTTTTACAAAATGCAAATAGATACAAGGAAAATTTTAAAATTTTAGTTTTTTTTCAATATTTTTACCTCACATAAAAGTAAAAACTATAAATTTAGTTCACATAATATTTTTTATTTATTTTTCGATTCAACGATAAATTATTTACAAAATTATTTTCACCATTTTGTATTTTTCATATTTATAGGAAAAGCGTTTATAGCAGTAGGCAATACAATTTTAAATATATACTATATATGTCATAATATTTTACACATTTAAGCATAGTCGATACATAAATGACAGCATTCTTGTTACAAAATCACAAAAGTGAGAAAAAAATGATTTCCTTTCCAAAATATTTTTATATAAAAATATCAATTTATTGTATACTTCACATTTTATTTTTATCTAAATATTACTAATCCGGAAATTATAAATCAAGCTATGACTGTATTATGACTTGATATATACATTTGAGTACATAATATAGAATACCGGATGATTCTTTTGAAGTTAAACTTACGTTTTATTGAAAAGTTTTAATGTTTTTAAAATTATTATTTTTGATTTTTAGTAGTATTGATACAAATCAAATGATTCTCAAAACAAAATTATGTATATTATTTGCAAAGTTTTTTTTCATTATTATTATTTTTGTTAGTTCTTACTTATTTGGGTGAAAGTATCATTTAAGATAATGAGCGTTTTTATTTTATTAAAATTTTGAATAAGTTGTATATTAGATATCTATATATTATTCAAAATTTGAATGAACTTAGTAGTGAGAAAACATTTTCGGAAGTACTGTTGAACGCGGAGATTTCGCTCATCTAAACTTTTGTTATATAAAATACTTATGCGCTTTGCATACTCATATATTGCATTTTTACATAATTTTTAGTCTAGATTTTTAACGAAAACAAAATTTATACTTATAATTATAACAATCAAAAATGATTTTCATTTTTATACACTGGATTGTTTCATAACTAAAAGTTTACATAATTATGTAAGTGATCTGCAGCTTAGAAACGTTTAAATATTTTACTATTTTACAAAATAATTAATGTAAAAATACTTCTAAGTTATTTTTGACATTTTTAATAGACTTATTGAAAACCATTACCGATGTTATCGTGTTACGTTTTTAGGAACCATTTCCATTGTATAGTTTTTCTAAGCCAATTCGTTCAATTTATAGATTGTATTATTTTCTTTCCAATAAATAGAAATCTTCGATAATGGAAATTCGACCTTTGTCATTTCATTTGTTTATGTTTATCAAGAATTTTCTTTTCATACACGTAGGTACTAATATATAATTATGAGAGTAATCGAAAACTGTGATTTTAGAGTTAAGGAAGAGAGAAAAACCCACGGAGCTCACATTTAAAAAATTAAATATCCGACCTATTTAAAATGTGAGTGTATGGTAAAATGTATTATTAGAGTTTTAATCGTGGTACCTTAAAAACCGTAGAATTCATATGGATACTCTATACACATGTATTATAAAAATGTTTGTTTTTTCGTATAGAAATATTATAAATAATAATGTGACCTTTTTTTTTTTTTAATCAAAATAGACTAGTAACTGATACAATAGTGAAGCGATTCACGTCCGCCAAGTTGGCGTCTGCACATTGTGCTGTATTTATTATTAAATAAAACTAATATCGAATATTTGATAGGAATTAGTGAGATTTGCAAAGACCATTTTCAGATTTTATTAGGTTCTCTAGACTATGCAAGAAAATATACTAGTGCCACTATTGTAGTAATACACGCTCATTAATACTAAAAAAAATCGTAAATATAAATAATATTTAAAAATGTTCTTATATGCGTTAGCCTTATTTTGCTTGGTCATTTTTTAGATTTTGTTAAAAACCGGATCACTCTGGTAGAATATTTCAAATCGGACCACAACTCCAATCCATCATTCGCAATCCTCCCTGACCACTAAGGTAATACATTACGTTTTTATAGTTTTCCGTTCTCCGTGAAATGTATTTGTAAAAATATCAATTCCTCACAAATGTTTGGCATTAATTAACTAACATGATAAAACTGATCCTGAAATTAAAATGTATGCATAGCATTTCCAAAGCATTTAATAGCTTCATTTGAAAAACATTATATTTCTGTAGACTACCGAGAAAAACTTTGGAAAAGTTATGAGTGTACATAAAAAAGGTTTTCAGAAATGTCGTCCGAGAAAACTTTTTCCCTTGCATAGCAAAAGATGGAAACTTTTTTAGGCTTTTTGTTCTCATAAGTTATTTTACTGGTAATATTGATGTATTTTAGTCGAATTGCCAAAAAAAACTTGATACTCGTTCATATAATTTAAATATAGACACTTATTTATGTTACGAAGGAGAGTCTGGTAATTTTTGGTTTTCTTGTGGTGGTATCTATTACAAATTTACAATTTCAACATTATGTTAAATAGAAAATAACATTATATTCACGTTATAATATTCAAATACATATGGTTTTATTTTTATAAATCAGATAGTTATTTGAAAAAAGTGTTGTAACAAAAGTTATTCTACAACACTGGACAGTGCTTTAACGATGTTAAATAAATTGGAACATTACCAATCAATTTTTTTATTTATTGCGCTAACTTTCCCAACTTTTTGGTCATCTTTTATTATTCTGTTTTAATTTGTTGGCTTACCTAAACCCAACTAGTTCACTAATAAACAGTGTAATCATAATTCATCGATATACCATAATTGATTGTTATTGACATAGATATATTACATAGGTATTTTCTATATCATACATTAATAAACGTAATATGATATTTAAATTGAATTATTTGTAGAACATGATAATATGAGAATTTATTAGTAGAATATCTCTATTCCCAATTATTTGCGTATATTGTAATTAACTGTTAATAATCGATTAAGGAAAAATCGTTATTTTTCGTTTAATTATTAAAATTTGATAAAATTTTAAAGTTTAAGTGAACTTTTTTACCTCGAGTTTAATTTATAAAACTATATTAAAATATTCAAGCATTTAAAATTTCTATAAACAGTAAAGATAAAGCCAAAATATTTTTAAAATTAGATTATGAATAGAAAATACTAGTTTAAATACTTATTGATAATTTTAAGTCATTGCCATACAACTAAACAATAAAATCGATTTCGTTCTATTTTTTAAGAAATTAAAAACTATTGTTTGATCTAGTTAAATACTCCACATAACTGGTGGATCCTAATTATTTTAATTTTTAATAAATAAGCCCACAACGTATGAACTAGATCTAATTTTCTACTAGAAATCTTAAATAAATATAAATTGGAACTTTTTCTGCTCTAAAACGTAATGATACAAAAAATGAATACAAATAAATTTATATTTTTTAAACACAAATTTAAAAACAATATATGCATTGTAGTCTAATTGTAATTCACATTTATAATCACACATTTTATCAATGACCAACAAATGTTCCGATGATGATCAATATTTTAAAACATTCCTGGAAATAATAACCGTGATAAGGGGTTTTAGCAATATCTAAAAATAAACTAACAAAATTAGTTGCATAAATATATTTGTTATAAATTAATTCCATAGTGCCTTATGGCATCAGTATGTTTATTGATTCGCAAAGTTTAAGAGCACAACTGATATTTTTTATTAAATTTTCAAAA